CCTGATTTGAATTTCCTATAATGACTGCTTGTAATTCCCAAGATGGCTGTTATCTGTGGCCATCCTAAGCATCTTCTCTCCTGTCTCGTATACCCCCATCAAGACCCACCCACTCAAACCCTTCCCCTTCCTTATGCTTCACACTACTTTCCCTTCCAGTCTTTATCTCCTGCCCTCTCATATACTTACTCCCACTCACACACCTTCCTCCCTACATCCCTCCCTTCACATACACGTATCTCTCCCTCTCACACATCCCACACCCAACATTCATATATTTACCCCTACACTTCCACCCCTCCACTTCATCCCGCCCTTCACATATACATATACATACACATACCTCTCCCTCTCCCACATACTCCACCTCTCATTTTACGGAATGGGACACTGTGTGGGTTAAATGACTCGCCCAAGCCCACACAAGAGGTCAGTGGCAGCGCCAGGAAGAGAATCCAGGAACCCTGATGCCCAGGCATGCCTTCTCACCACAAGACAACTCTATTTAAATAAAGCACCCAATCTATGTCCACTTCATTTCGTCATGGGATGATCCCTGTCTCTCCAGAGCTTCTCCCACAGGGTATCAGCCCAAAGGTGGATTAAGGCAGGGTATTTGAATCCTGGGAACCAGATGTAGGTAAGACCTCCCGCAAACTAGTTCCTAGAGAGAAGATTGTGGGGAAGTCACTAGGAAGAAGAGCCTATCATATGGACAACTGAGGGAAAGTTCAAAGATACGGGGAGCTGAGAGAAGGGCCTGTTGAGTGGCCCAGTTTTGTTTTGGTTTGGGTTTTTCTTGAGGGTGTGTGTGAAAGTTTGGTGGATCTGAGCCCTGTTCAGTTTTAAGCCTGTGCTGTTCAAGCTCAGTATCTGAGTTCATTTCTGTCTCTAATACTGACATTTCTCTCTCAGGTGGCTGCTGCTGCCTATTTTAGGGTGGGGCTGAGGGCTGGTGTACTCATGTTTTCAGGCTCTTATCGGCATCAGGATAATGTTATGCCTTTCTTTTCTGTCATGTGGCATCCTGCCTCCCTCCCCTCCTTTCCTCCCTCTGCCATCTCCCAGAGGAGGCGACAGACGGTCCTGTAATTTGGTTCCATTCGCTCGACTGGAGCAACACCTGCCCCCCTCCCAGGAGACGGGAGGGTCTCATCCCAAACCATACAAGGAGCCAAAGACAAATCTGAGGCCCACATGCAAATAAAACACAGGATAAAACAGCATGGCCATTTTGGACAGAAAGGAGAAATCCAGCACCACGGGAAGAGGCAGGGGAAACAAAATCACCTCGGCAGGAAGAAACAAAAACTGCAGGAGAGTGCCTTTTTCTTTTGGGGTGATTGTTATTGTGGTTAGTGAGCTTTCCTCCCTTAGAGAATAAACCAAGAATATTGAAAAATAATGGCTGATATTAGATTATATCGATCCACACTAAAAGGGCTAGGTTACTTGGGTTACAGGATAGATAGATAGATAAGATAGGTTTCAGAGTAACAGCCGTCTTAGTCTGTATTCGCAAAAAGAAAAGGAGGACTTGTGGCACTTTAGAGACTAACCAATTTATTTGAGCATAAGCTTTCGTGAGCTACAGCTCACTTCATTGGATGTAGCTCACGAAAGCTTATGCTCAAATAAATTGGTTAGTCTCTAAGGTGCCACAAATACTCCTGTTCTTTTTATAGATAAGATAGATTCCAAGGCCAGAAGAGACCACTGCAATCATCTAGTCTGACCCACTGTATGACATAGGCCATAGAACTTCCCCCAAATAATTGCCAGAGCAGATCTTTTAGTAAAACGTCCAATCTTGATTTAAAAATTGTCAGTGATGGAGACTCCAACAGGATCCTCGATAAGTTGACCCATGGTTAATTACTCTCGCTGTTAAAAATGTATGCCTTATTTCAAATATGACATACATAGCTAGATAGATAAACTTGGGTATTTCTTCATAACAATACACTGAAAAAGTGCCATTTCTTTGTTGAAACTCACACACAAAAAATAGAAAATCATTTCCTTCCCCCGTTGGTAGGAATAACGCAAGATATCAAATTACTTCAAACGCCCGCACTGTTTCCCCCATTCTGAGCACTGGCTACATAACATTATCCAACCTGACGGTGCTATTTCTTGGTCAGTAACTAAGCTATTTATGAATAAACATAGCATGTACCATGCTTAAAAGTTAGAGGCATGTTTCATGTCCGGAAACAGTTTACCTCATGTATGCCTGTCTGTTAGCAGTGTAACTCATGTCTGCATGTTTTGTAGAATGCGCTATGCTCCTGACCCTGCAATCTTTTATGCGCATGAGCATTATACACTGCACAGTGCATATGTAAAGAGCCCTTACTCATGCAAATTGGCCCTTAGAAATGAGTAAGCTTACCTGTGTAAGTGACGGATAAAGTGGTGTAGATTTGTGCCCTATATCTTTATGTTAGCCCATGGTCTGTGTGCAGGAGTTTGATCTCTGTCATTGTGTTAGTGGCAGGATCCATTTCTGTGTTTCATTGGAATGCCTTGTGTTTGCATGTTTTTTGCATGCTTCATGTCTGATGTTATTCATGTGCACTTGTCAATATATTAGCACAGCATTCTATGTCATATATTGGAAGTACCATGCCCCATTGCTATGTTAGTGATATGTCTTATCTCTTTATATTAATGGTATGCTGGATATCTGTTAGTGAAATGCCCCAGGTTTGTACATTGGAGGCATTTCTGATTTCTGTATGTTAGTGGTATTTTCCAGGTCTCTGTCTTATACTTTATATCAGTATTAATTAGAGAAGGACCTGAGCCATGTTGTTCAGGGCCAGATTTAGGTCTGGATTCAGAACTAAACTTTCCCAAGTTTTGAGCATGTTCATATCCATGGTTGCAGTGTGGGCTCATGTCTAACATTAAATGCAAAAAAACACATTAGTGCAACATTAAGGATACAGGTTTAAACATTAAAAAGTCAGCACTATTCATTTTAAGTTTGCACTCTGCCTGCTGGTCAGCTTGCACAAAATGATATAGTCCTTAACATGTGACCACATCCTGTAAGTCAAATAATAATACATTTTGCTACTAACTTAGGTACAGTGTATCCAAGATAACCTATGAGCTGTGGATGGTATCTGTCTCATAAGGCATAAGCACAAGGGGGTAGAGTTAAGGTTGTTTATTTGATCTTCATTTTGGCATTTCCTGGCTTTTGCATGCTTAACCATGAAGACTTCACGTTGCACTAACTTTGTTTCTTGTGTTTATTTCCTCAATGATGATGATTTTTATTTTTAAGAAAAAGAAAGAAGTGGGGAGCAAAAGACTTAGTTTTTTATAATTAACTGGCATCAGCCATCAAATGACAACTGGAATTTACCAATGTCAGTAGAAAAAGTCACACTTAGGATTTGATCCCGTTACTACCCCTCACCCCCTATTGACTTCAGTTAAAGCAGGAGCTGGTCCACTTAGAGGCACCAGTCAGCCAAGGACTGATTTCTGTATGTTAGTACTGCAGCCTATTTATACTGGTGGACTTACTACTGATTTACACCTGTGTAACTGAGAGTAGAATCTGGCCCTAATATGCATTTCCACACTTGTATACAGACATTGTAAGTCTGTGTGAATTAAGGTAGTGCCAGGGCTTGCTGAATGTAAATGTTCATAACTTCAGATCTGCTCAGTCAATTGTCATCATACTCGGCATAACGTATAAATCTCTGTGTGGTCTACATGAAACAAGCCAGATTTGAAGAAAACTGGAGCAAAAGTTTTAAAATTACATGATCATTTAAAGTTGTAACATTTTGAAAAGGGCGCATCTGGCTGCAATATCTGTATATGCTGCACAGTGCATATGAAAGTATGCACCTTTAGAGTTAACATCATCTACTGTACCTTCTCCATGTACAGTTTTTCAGCTGGTCAGGACTGTGGTTAATCAAAAAAAAAAATTTTTTTTCAAACTAAGTAAAGCCTCTATTCATCAGTGAAGATTGTGGGCCTGATGATGGACACCATTACTATGGTGAAGGTTAAAGATGTGTCCCATAGTCAATGGGACTACTCATAGTGTACAGCACTGCAGGTAAAATGCACCCCATGCAGAGGAGCCAGACAAGGGCTTAATTGTCAGTTAAGTGGTGCTTAGGCCTTGCTGGTCCCCTGCACAGTGTGATTTTCACCCTGGTAATATACCTTTACAAGATCAGGTCTACATTAATGCCGTGTTTCAATTATCAGTCATTTTAGCTGTAGCCCTGTCCAAATAAGTGGGGTTGGAGTTTTTATAAACAAGAAAAGTGTATTTTTATTTCACTGCATCCAAATCAGAACTAGCAGAAGGGATTTTAATTAAACTTAAAAAACCCAAACACCTCACAGTCAGGCAGGGACAAAGCATGTAAAATACCAGCCACGTAGATGAATGTGTCAGAAACAATTTGTAAAAATAGGTGATTCTAAAGGTTTGATTTGACTTCACAGCCTGAACTTTAAAGTGTGCTACCAGATGCCCAGTGGAATGAGCAGGGGATGAAAGAAATGTCCTGCAGCTCATACACAGTTAGGCCCCGATCCTGCAACTGAATCTGTTGAGCCCAGTTGTAGGATCAGGGCCTTATGTGAGGAATTTCTTTATTATCAGATAAATTATGATCTTTAGCATCAGACAGCAACTGTCCATTTTTGTGCAACCTGTTGAGATTCTTTCATAGACAACTTTAGAAGGCTTCAAAAATCTCATGCAAATACTGGCTGTACATCCTTTCTAATTTCCATCTTATGGAAAAATCAAAGAAAAATAATTAGGAAAAACCAGCTTTATTTGATACTTTTATTTATATGCAAAACAGCGCACCATTCATGAGAGATATGAAAAACGCATCAGATAGAAACCAGATTTATCTATTTTCACTACAAAATATTGCATTATATAAAGCAACAGAGACACACAAAAAAACCCTGAAAAAGATTAAAATCTTTGGATCGCAGACTTCTTTTTTCTTTTTTTGTCTCTAAAACGCGCTCCTTGTTTTGAGAGATTCACAGCAGAGAACATGAAACATATTCAGGTTATAGAATTTTTTTGGTTGTTACAAAGGAAAGTAGTCCTGGATTTTTTTTTTATTTTTATTTTTATTTCTTTCTTTTCTTTTCTTTTTTTTAGGAAAAAAGTCATTTCCTAAAAAAATACCACACACATACATACACACGCACACACACACACACACACGCACACACACACACAGACAAAAAAACTACTTCTCTTATAAACTGTTTGTAAAGTACTTTTCAGACATAACTATAGTTCAGAATAACAACAAGTATTTTAAAAAAAAAACAACCTCTAGTGAAGTGCTAGTGTTGATCCCACACAAAAAAGAAAAATCCTTCAAGAACAAATGTCTTAATATATAAAATATACTTAGAAACAGGGCGGAAGGGAAGGTTGTCATATACAAGTGCAATATAACTGGAGCAAAAAACAAATAACCACTGTATTGATCCCAACAAACACTTGAAAAGTTAGACATAATATTCCACAGGAGAAAGTGTAAACACTCGACTATATAAACCAATTGGCACAAAGTATCCAAAGTAAAATTGTCACCACTCAGAAAAATAAATAGGTCTTGAAAAAAATAAATAGTCTACTCCTTCTAACATAAATAAAAAATAGTTATTTTTAACTGCACCCATGGGTCACATGTTTAAGGTCACAAGTAGATGTTTTTGGATATATAAAGGGGCACTTGACAACCTGAAAAACAATCTGATTTTACATTTTCCTTCTAAAACTGGACTTTCTATATGTGTATCACCAAACTGCTCTTCCACCTTGTGGTATAGGTGGGAAAAGATTTTTAAAAAGAAAACCTTGCAAAATATTCAGTCTATTTTTATATACCCCCAGAAGACTTTGGAAATGCATCTGCCCTTTCCCTTTTTATGTTCTTTATAGCTTCCTTTTACCCTGTGAGTCTTTAATGTCCTCATTCAGCAAAGCACTTAAGCTTGCAGAACTTAGGGCCGTTTTAAAGTCCCCTTGACCTGGCAAGTGCTTAAGTGCTTTGCTGAATTGGAGGCTAATTGTAGAAGTTCTCGTGTGAAAAACAAACTGGTCTCTTGCGTTTTGTGTAGGGCACTGTGCGATTGTCCGGGAGGAGAAATAAAAAAGTCTCTAATTTCGGAGCTTTTGGCCCCTAGAGCCATGACAGCTCTGAGCTCTCCTTCAGTAAGAAAGGGAGGACAATGAAATGTTACCTGCGAAGTCTGGAGTGATTTCCAAAGGAAAACTAGCCGCGCAGGAGACAGCGAGTTGGTCTATTGACATGAACGGTCTTGGCTGGTTATCAGGCCCTACAGAAAACGCAGATGCATCTGCAATGTCTGACCCGGAGGACTCTGGGGAACCCCGCAAAGCTGTCCCGAAAGAGTCAGATCCACCCCCGGGGCCGCCAGGAAGGGCTCAGAGGGCCCCTCCCGTCCCCAGGTGGAATATGTTGCAAGTGTCTCCCCTTGTCAGTATCGCCTCCCGGCAGTGCGCGTCGCCTCCGTCCCCGCCAGCCGAGCTCCCGCGGTCCCTCTCTGCCGCGGCCCAGCCCCTACACGTCCAGCACGTGGTTGAGATAGGAGATGTAGCAGATGGCCAGGCGCAGGATCTCGATCTTGGAGAGTTTTTTGTCCGGGGGCAGGGTGGGCAGCAGTTTGCGCAGCTCGGCGAAGGCCAGGTTGAAGGCTTCCACCCGGATCCGCTCGCGGGTGGCGTGGGCCGAGCGGTACTTGGCCGTGGCCCTCCTCCGGCGCCGCTTCTCCTCGCGGCTCAGCTGCTGGGGGTGCAGGGCCGCCCGGCCGCCCCCCTTGCCCTCCCCGCCGCCCTCCTCCACCGGCTCCGGGTCCGAGACGCAGCAGCCCAGCAGCCCCTTGGCGTCGGTCCCCGCCAGGGACTCCGGGTCCGAGGGAGCCGAGGAGGGGTGATCGGAATCCGCCGCTTGGTCCGGGCTGAGCATCATTTTGGTGGGGTGGGGAAATGAGCCTTCAGTGACACGGGAAGGGGAGGGGGGGAGGGGGCAGGGGAAGGAGGGAGGCACAAAATAGAAAAGTCCACACTGTTACTGTGCAAGCCGACCGGCAAAGCCCCTTTCCCCTGGGCCCGGCCCAGCCCCTCCCAGCTAGCGGAGCTCATCCGCCGGTACCAATCCGGGCTGGAATTACACTCCCTGGCCCTGAAGATGCCAAATCGGAGCGCCAAGGGGAGTCAGGGAGGGTGCCCTCCGCTATGGGGAGAGCAAGCCGGCAATCGCCTCCCAGGTCAGGACACGGGGCCGCATTCTGCTCCTGACACGCGCGGGTGTAACCCTGGGGGAGTCGTTCTAGCCAAGGCAAGGGAGTGACTCCAGATTGACACCATTGCAAGGGAGAACAATTTGGCCCAAGGAGAAAGAAACACCAGATCAAACCAGGAGACCGGCTAGAGATAGGGCCTGTTGACAACAACGAGACAACAATGTGTTTGGGCACAAAGGCAGGTTGGGTATAACCAGACTAGACTAGGGTTTGATTTTGCTCTCACTTGCGTCAGTTTTAGCTTTGTGTCATTGACTTCAGTGGAGTTACTCCGGAGCAGAACCATGCCCTCTAGCCTCTGATTATATCTCCCTTTACCTGGCTTTGAAAAACAACATTACATAATAATAATAATAATTAATAATAGTAATTAATTAATAATAATTACCAATGTCCTTCCCCTTGCCTGAGCCTCCTCCCTACTTCTCCCAAGGGTTTGTAAATCCCAACTAACTGGTTCTAAACAAAACAACCCCCATCTCAGTAAAATAGAAAGGATACAAAAGATAAATATTATATCTTACCTAGGTTATAACAGGGAGATTTCTATAGAGGAAACTCAAATCCATTTTTTTTATTACGTGGAAAGGGTTACTACCAATGATCGTAGGAATAATAATAACAACAATAAACCATACTGCATAATTTACAATCTAACATCTGTCAACAGCTTTTACAGAATATTCTTCCTCTGATCATTTCCCTAGTTTGTTTGCTTGTGGAAACAGGCCCAGGGAGCAATAACAAAATAAAATAAGAATAAAACAATAATTCAGCTACTCTCCAAATATTAAATAGATTTTTCATTTCTAAATACAGTATTTCCCCTCTACCAATTGTCTGTTAAACTTTTTTTTTGCTTAACCCGGAAATGGAATCCAATAAGGATTTGATGGCTTAAAATAGAAAGAAATATAGCACAAGACCCTTTAACCATAACAAGGCCAGCGTGGAAGTATTGGGGAGATACAATCAAACCTATAGGATCTAATGTAGCTCCTCTATTCTATTCTTCGTATAATGCAGAGCTGCTTTCTCATGCTAATTTTCTTGAATCTGTAGCGTCAGAGTAACTGATTGGATGGGGATATTTCTGGGTTCCAGGTTATTAAAGATGGTTTAAAAAAAAAACTTTCACATTTCTTTTCATTCTCTCTCTCTCCCCCTCCTTCTAAAATATATAAATAAATGACTGAATTTAGACGTGCCTTTCAAAAGAAAATTGAATCGTATCTTCTTGCAGCTTCACAGAACACCATCTGTCATGTAGACAGCAATACAAATCCAGGAACTCATATGGACATGCCGGCATGTAATAAAACAATACATCAGGCAACTAGAGAATAACCCTGGACACAAATGTGGGGTGGGGGAGGGAGGAGGGAATACATCAACCTACCACAAAAATTAGGATTACAAAGTTTTTCAGTGTAAAGTTTATGATCTCAACTACAGTACTGTGGGCATTTAATGATTTATTATTATTATTTCTTATTATTATTACTCAGAACCAGTTTGCAAAAAAAAAATAATCTTCAAAATGAAAGACTGTATGATTCCGAGCGCATTAAAGATTTGAAATAAAATAATCATGATAATTAATAATAAAGGATGGGGGGTCAGGTAAGCTTCCACCCTGTTTGAAATGCTTTTCACACTGAGGAGCTTCCTGAGAGGAAAGGCTGAGTGGGAATTCAGAGTCTAAAACCCACTTCCCTCTGTATCTAGTTGTTTTATTACAACACATCCACACGGATTAAAAGTCTATCAATATGCCGGCGAATGTGTCAAGAAAACAAACAGTGGAACTGCAGGAAGCTGTGTAGGGAGCAAAGGAAACAAACATGAAGCGATTACAAAAAAGAAACAGGGGGGAAAGAAAAACAGCAAGATTTCTTCATTTAGAAGAGACTTGGGGACCACTAGAACTTTCCGAATTGCTTATTGCTGTTTTAAAATGCTGATGACTTTACTAATGAGGTTCTGAAAGCAAGAATACAAAACAAAATAACAAGCCACTACGCAGGTTAAATATCAGCGATCTTCTGAAAAATAGGAATAGCGCCTTTCAGCTGAGAGGTTGATTTGAAAGAAGGGATAGATAAATAGCTTTCGAAATTTACAGCGTGGCAACATATAAAACGGGAAATTATAGCGTTAGTTATCGGAGAAAGTTGCTGTAAGGTTTGTCCATACAGCGTGTTGAATTCCCTTCCTTTACGATCTGGGTTGATCTCAAACAATATCCAGCGCCTATGTTGGCAATCTGAACAAAGAGAGAGATTTCAAATAAAACGATTCCAATTTCACCTGCAAAAGAATATTAGTTAAAGAGCGCTTACCTTGCCTGAGTCTTTGCAACAATCTTTCTTAAAGCCCCCTTTCCCACACCCTGGTGCTTTTACAGTTCGAAACTCCAGGAGAGGAACATTAAAAAGAAAAAGAAAAATTCAGAATCAAAAATAAATTAAAAGCAGCGAGTTGTTCTGTTTGAATTGGAAAAGGCAGATCTCATTCCTTGTGATGGCCTCGCAGGTCCAGAAATGGAAGATGTTATCTAATTTTTGGAGAGTATAAATAACAACGTAGGTAATTTAAGACGAGTTAGAGATACATTTTCCCACCAGAGTCTTTTTTTCTCCCAGAGATCTAGAATATATCAGTAGCCGGTGTGTTTGGGTGTGTGTGTGTGTGTGTGTGTGTGAGGATGTGTTGAAAAGTGCTGTTTTCCCCTTCTCTTCCTCCTCCCAGGTCTCGATAAATAACAAAAGAGATGCAGAGATAAACACAATCAAGATATTTCCCCCCCTCTCCTTCCTAATAGCAGCACAATCGATAAAGATGATGGTCGGGATAAGATTCAATTTATGTTGTACTCCTCGGCTTACCCCTGTAAAGAGAAAATGCCATGCAGGTCTCTGATATGATCTGGCTCAGAAGTGAGATTGTTCTGTAGAGATAGGCTTTGTTCAGCTGATGTCTCTTCTATTCCCAGGCACACAATACTGTAAATCAGGAATAATGATGCGTCCCCTTCTTCTTTTTATGTATGTATTTATTTACTAGGGTGCAGGGAAATAAATGTTTAGTTTTCTTCCAGTCCTTGAAGATCAGATTTAAAATATACCCCGTATCCTTCTGTCCCAACTCCTTCTTTATCTCTTTTATTTATACATGCATATAAACCATTGCCAGTGGCTTGGAAATGCTGCAAGAGATGATGTTGGTGAAAAAGTGCAAGTCCTCCGTGTAGTGACAGCGAAGCAAAGAAAAGCTGGGGAAGGTGGCAGAGGGAGAGAAACTGAGATGCTGTGGATTCTCTCCTGGTACCAAAGGGTTGAGCCTGGAGATGGTGGAAGAGATAAAGGCATAGGGAAAGAGGGATGGCATCCCCCCCCTCACTTAAATTGATATTTAATGGGAAATCCTATTGGACAGAAACCTGGACACGTGTCGCTTAATTGGACTTGACATCTGTCACAGTGTGGGAGTTTTCACAGCCCAAATATTTTCAGCAGAGCAGAATTCTCACTGAATCGGTGCCACAAATTATAACAGTCGAAAGCAGCCCGTGATAGAAACCGTAGCCTCTGGATATGCAGGCTATGGCCATGTTTGCTCCCTCGCGCCCAAACTATTGGCTACCCACTCGTCTAGAAAAATACCACTGGCATTGTGCATGGAAGTTAATAAAGAAGCTTTAGACACCAATCTGCATTATATACATTATACACTAAGCTCAGTGAGACTCCTCAGGCTGTTCTCCAGCACATTTCTTTAGTGCTGGCCCAAATGTCCAATACACCTGGAAGTGCACCCAGCCTGGATGGATTGTGGGGGGAAGAAGGGACATGGTGGCCCCAGGGTTGTTCAACAAAGCAGATAATAGCCTGGGACAGCAGTTTGCAACCTTTTTTCGTTTGTGGACCCCTAAACAATTTCAAATGGAGGTGGGGACCTCTTTGGAAATCTTAGGTGTAGCGTGCAGCCCCCCAGGGATCTGCAGACCACAGGTTGAAAACCACTGGTCTGGGAGGGCGCTTAGCCCCCCAGCCAGGCGAGACAATGGGATGCGGGGCGCAGAGCTCTATGCTGGGTCAACAGCTTCTTTGGCACTGAAATGAGCCAGAGCTTGGTTTTAGAGAGGTGCATGGCACTGCCTGGCACCAGGGAAGACCCCCAGGGCAGTACCCCGGTACATTTTCTACTGCCAGCATTTTGGGATGAATCTGTTGCCAAGAAGCATTTCTTTGGTGGGAAGGGGGAGGCTCTGTGGTCATGGAGCCAGGCCTTCTGAGGTCTGCCCCGACACTGCTGTTGACTGGGAGGGTGGCGTTGGGCAAAGCACTTCACCTCTCTTGCCTTGGGGTTCCGCAACTGTGCCAGGGGGAGACTATTGCATGGGGGTGTTGAGAGCCCCAAGTAGTAATGCACTTGCCCAGCATCCTGGAATTAATTCAGGACCCATATAAAGTGCTTTGAAATCTTTGCGTGGAGGACACCAACACAGGGCAAAGCCTCAGTAAAGGTTTTTTTAATAATAATACAACATTATGTTGACTGGGACTGAATAATTTGCCTGCTCTGTGGGGTTTCTAAGAATAAGAAATATTCCGACAATAAATGCAATGCCTAAGTCACCGTGGGTGTACATTGGCACAGAGCCATTCCAATCAATGGGAGAGGACATCTCTGGAAGGTGCGTCCTTTGGAAAGGGGCATTGCTCCCTATGATGTGACGGACTGGGTCTGGAAGCCCCCTGCTGGAGGCCTTGCTGCCCTGTCTCACCCTGCCTCACAAAAAGGCAGTAGAAAGGTCCTCCAAGCTGCCTAGAGCGGCTGTGTAGGAAGCAGCCAATCAGGTCCCAGCAGGCTAGTATAAGAAGAGCTGCAGGGCCAGTGTGAGTTCAGTTCTTTGCTAGAGCTGGAGAAGAATGGATGGTAGTTTGAGGGAAGTATGAAGAGTGAACAGAGGCTGTGGGGATTTTTAGAAGTGATACAGTTTATTTAAACGGATGTGGTGGATGGCTGCTGTCTATAGGATCCCTGGGCTGGGACCTGGAGTAGAGAGTGGGCCTGGGTCCTCCCCACCTGCCATTGGGAAAGTGGACTTTGATACATCCCTGAAGGGGAATTGAATTCTTCTAGTGGCCCAGGTGGAGAGCTGGAGCTGGAAAGGCCCAGAGAGGTGAAGAGTCTTCAGTGAGGGAGCCCTGGGGGATGTGGCCTTGCACGATGGCCAGGACTGCTTGAAGAGCAGGGGCCATTTGAGAGAGCCCAGAAGGGGCTGAGACAGTTCAAACCAGGGTACTGTGATAGGCCTGAACTCAGGAATAGGGCTGCAGATAAAGAGACATTATGGAGGGCTTTGAGCTATGCCCAGTTGGACTTGTGTCCTGGAAGGGGGTTGATATTTTTTTATTTCTCATACTGTCTGTGTGTGACTTGGCTGGAGGGCTGAGTCACTGAAGACCTGACATAAGCTAAGAGAGCAGGCATGTGCAGTGAGATGGGGGTACTTGTGAGAAGTGAGTGTGCCCCATTATACTCTCCCTCCCACATTGGGTCCTGAGGTAACAGCAGGCAGCCAGGGCCTTCTGTTTTGGTGTTCTAACAATCCATCGCTGCTCTGGATTCCTGGAGCTGCTCTTTGGCCTCACTGGTCCAATGGAGCCATACTGCTAGAACTCCCTGGTGGTGGCTACCCTTAAAGGGAAATTCTCACTGTAGAAGAGAGGCTGCAGAAATGCAATATAGCCTCTGGCTTGGACTCTCTAAAATGTATGTCCCCTGAGCCTTGATCCTGACTCACTCACATGTGTGACTTTTGTTTTTGTCAGTGGGTGCTCTTCTCTGCCCCTTCCCCTGTGTGACTGGTGGGCAGGGCCTTGGGGGGGAAGAGGCTGGATGGGGCCTTAGGGTGGAGTACAGATGGGGCAGGGGCACAGCCCAGGCAGTGGGGCCCACAAAAGATTAAATTGTCCCTGTGGGTGCTGGGCACCCTGTTTTTTTGGGTGGATACTTGGGCCCTGGAGCACCCATGGGGTTGATGCCTGTACATTCACTCCTATCCTGGCCCTCTAGTTGCCAATCCCACCACACAGAACCTTGGGTCTACAGACAGCCCTCTGAGGAAAGGGAAAACTGTTGCTGTAAATACCATTTTCTACCTAGGAAGAAGAGATACAAGTACAGATCCAGGGTATGATTGAGCTCCAAAATATTAGGACTGGATCATCCTTTTTGCATCTGTAAGCAGAGAACCAAAATTCTCCCCCAGGAGGGCATGGAACTGGGTAGTTGCAACATTCCTCACAGCTTGCAGATGTTCCTCCACAAGGAGTCTGTAAAGATCAGGCTAGACATGTGGAAGATCCAAGGTCACTCCATGGCTTTGCCTTCTTCCAGTGCAGCCAGATGTCCCAGTGCATATTAATGCAGATCCAGTCTCATATTCCTGTTTGCCCCATGGATTTGGGGGGGTGAGGAGAATCTAGCATAGTGTGGCAGGTCCTTTCTCCCCAGATCACATGCGCTGCCTATCCTCTGCTCACCTGTTTATCTGGCTCCTCCTGCCCAGGGACTTCTGTGTGGGGAGAGGCATACATGCTGTGGAGGCAGCTTTCCCAAACTACTGCTCCTTCCTCAGATCTGGTGGGAGGGAAGGTTGGCTTGCTGTATTCATGGAAACATAGGGGAGTCCCTATAACACAAGGAAGGGGACAACAGAGAAGGAAGCAGGAGGGAGGTGGTTTCCACAAGCTAGGTCCATAAAGCTAGTCGTTTGCACAGTGCATGCATTGTGCACTGATCTTTGATGCTGACACTCATTTTAAAATTTATTTTTAAGTTTTCCTTTTCCTTAATTTGGTGCATGAGGGTGGTTCAGCCACTCAATCACCTGGGTCACTCAGTAGCTAGCAGACAAATTTTGACACCACATAACATGCTGTTTATTACTATTTGATTACACCCTCAATATATCCTCCAGGATACCAAAATCCAGAGGGCCCCGCTCTATGGAGATTACAGACTAACAATCCAGTCATGCAGCTCCTAACCCAACTGAACAGCCCCACTTGAAGTCAGTGGAACTTGTCACATCAGTAAGGGCTGAAGGGTCTGACCCTAGATATTTTCCGATTCAAGGAATGAGACTGATCCCCTTGGAGGCTACAGGTATCTGTTCTGAGACTAAACCGAGAAAGCAGTAAGGCAAGCTTCCCTTCCACACACCCTGGCAATGTGCCTTGCTCCTGGCATGGAAGAAGCCAGTTCTAGAAATGGATGGGGAATCTCCGTGACCCATTCACTCCTTGAACTTTCTGCCAAGGTGGCAAACACGGGTGCCAATTCTAGGGCTATTTATGATGGCAGGTTTTGTAACACTTTTCTATGGGGAAATGGGCTGACAGTCAACAACACTCGTTGTTTCATTTGCTTAGTTGTATTTTTGCTTTAGATTCTGTGTGCCCATCAATCTCTGGGGGGCAACAGTGGTGTTAATACCTTTCTTAAAAAAAAGACCTTGTGATAGGGTGACAAGGTGGGAGAGGTAACATCTTCTATTGGCTCCACTTCTGTTGGTGAGAGAGACACGCTTTTGAGCTTACACAGAGCTCTTCAGGTCTGGGAAAGGTACTCCCAGCATCACAGCTAAATGTAAGGGGGAACAGATTGTTTAGCATAAGTAGTTACTCTCAATACTTCTCCAGTCATAAGATGAAAAAAGGGAGTTAGTAGGTTACAGGTTGTTGTAATGAGCCATAAATCCATTGTCTTCATTGAGACCATGATTTTTAGTGTCTAGCAAAATTAGGAATTTAAGCTTCCAGGCTTGTCTTTTGAAGGTGTTGAAGGTTTTCTTTGAGGATGAGGACTAATAGGTCAGATGCAGAGTGATTGCTTTGTGAAAAGTGTTCAGCCACAGGTGATAAGGTGTTTTTGTCTTGTCTTATTTTCTTGTAGGTTCATTCAAGAGCATAGTGGTTGTCTGCTTTTACCCCCATAGTTGTTGGGGCATTTAGTGCACTGGAGGAGGTACACCACATTTTGTGATAGGCATGTGTAGGACCCTTCGATCTTGAAAGATGTGTTGATCATCGTAGCAGTGCAGATATCTGCAGGTTTTGCATCTGTTCTGGCAGGGTCTGGTGCTGCTTTGAGCTGGTGTGCCCTGGTCTGTGGGGAGCTTGCTTCTGATGAAGAGCTTGGCAAGGCTGGGGGGTTGTCTGAAGGCCAGAAGAGGGGGTTCAGGAAAGATTTTTCAGGATGGGGTCCCCATTGAGTATGGGTTGTACTTGTTTGATACCCCATATGGATTCCAGTGTGGGATGGTAGGTGACAACTAGGGGTGTA